AGATAAAGATCTAAATCCTTAAAGGTGAGATTTTCAAAAGGCACAAAGGGCAGGCAGGCATCCCTAAATTCACGTAGCTGGAGTAGCATAACTTAGGTCGACTTACTGCGGTGTCTACACCATGCTGGGTCGATGGGAGAGCGTCTCCCATTGACTTACCTTACTCCTCTCATTCCCGGTGGAGTACTGGAATCGATCGGAGAGCGCTGTGCCGTCGATTTAGTGGGTCTTCACTAGACCCGCTAAATCGACCCCCAGTGCATTGATCGGAGCAGCGTCAATCCCTCAGTAGTGTAAACGTAGCCTAAAACATTAAACTGAGGTAAACTAGAAATTAGAAAAAAATCAGGAGTCTCAAGAAAATGATCTGGCATTATGAGAACTCTGAATGCGAATGTAAATTCTACAGGAAGTTTGGATTTCAAGCACTAAAATTAATATGCAACTGGCTACCAACTTTACTACGACTTTAATAGAGACTTCACAATAGAGAACACAGCCATGTGAAAATGTCTAATTATAAACTAGTGTGTAGAAAATTAGCACTGGACAATAGAAAAAAGTAATTAACTTAGACCACAAAGACTAATTTGTGTAAATTATTTTATAGACTTTCAAACATTTTTTCAGTTTTGCAGGTATACGTTTTTCAACATTATTTTTATATACATTTATAGAGTGGTCAAGTATGCAATGTGACTGTACAGGCTGTATCATCCTTTTGGCTGGCCTGCCCTGCAGGCTGTTGGGCAGGAGGATGGGGACATGCTCCCACTTCCGCCCCACCCCCTGTGAGATGCCTAGTATCCTGGGAGGTGCAGACAGGGCTGCCGAGAGCGGGTTCGGGCCCCGGTGAAATTTTTTTTTGGGCCCCCCAGCAAGAGCAGACCAGCTAAACAGGGCCGACAAGTGGGGGGGAAGCCGGGCCCGGAATTTTTTCGGGCCCCCCAGCAAGGGCGGACCGGCTAAACAGGGCCAATGGGGGGGGGGGGAGCCGGGGCCCCTTCAGGACCACCGGGCCCCGGTAATTTGTGCTGGCTCCCCGCCCCCCCCGTCGGCCCTGGGTGCAGAGGTATTAGATCCTGATCATCACAACATATCACAGTGGATCAGGAAACGTATCATTTGATTTGACATCATCTTCAATTAAAACTGGCTTTGATCACGTCTAAAAGTAGAACAGTATAAACTCTGAACTCAGGTCTGAGTGTTTAAGAGACAGATGAGGCATCCCCCCACCCCCCGAGGAAAACAAAGAGGGAAGCAGATAAAATGGAAAGAAAATCCAAAAAAAAGTAAGGTCTCTTTATATTGATGAAAGAAGGCAGAAAAAAGATAAAGTGATACATTTCTAGCAATGAGAAGCACAGTAAGCCTTGGCATCATGTATCTTAGATAACAGCTGTAACAGTAATAAATCCTGAGGTTTGCAGTGAATTGAACCATTATCATTGTTTCTTTTTATTTGTTTTCATTGTGTTTTGTCAGCTGACTACATGCCTTCTTGCTTTACTCTTATACGTTTTTGGTTTACTTCCTGAAAATAAAATAGATATACAACAATGCATGTATAATCTTTCCCTATAAGCTCCCAGCATAAGCATGGGCGAAGCTCCATTCAGGAAAAGGAGGAAGATGGAACACACTGAAAAGAGAATGGGGAGGCGGGGTCAGATGAATCATGTAATGATTTCCCTATTCTAGATAAAAACAGCTGTTTATATGAGCATAATTTAAGGGACAAGAGACTAGGCTTTCATCTGTAGAGATAATTTAGGACTAATTAAATCTGTCCTAAAGGGGGATGGACTAGATCAATACAACTGATTCAGCAATCTCATTTTCGGACCCGTTCTCAATCTTACGCAATTTCTTCTGAGGCAGGGGCTCTCCCATTGTGAGGACTGCCCAAGCACCTCATGGATCATCTGATTCACTTACTGTCTAAAGAAGCCGTTTCTTGGGTTAGCCTTTAGAGCAGCAGGACTTACCGAGTGATCCCACATTGTCTCATGGCACAGAACTTCGCTGTGTGCCTTGCTGTGCTGCACTACTTTTTCATATTGGGGGCAGTCATGTGTCTTTTCTTTGTGGCATGTCCACAGCTGCAGTGCAATTTGGATAGTGCTCCTTCCTTTGTCTACCTTATTTTTTAGTTGCCTATCCGTTGCACAAGGCTCTTTGTCCTTTCTGTTTATTTTAATAAAACATGCCTGGACCCAAAAAGGTTCTGGTCTACCACTGGATTTCTGATGGTCAATGAAGAAGATGGGAGCTTTCCTGTAAGTGTCATTGGCACTCACTAGAGCAATTGAATTTTATTCTTCTTGGCAGGTTTAATAACAAAGGCTGATGTGTTCTTTATATTTGGATATAAATTACAAAAATTGAGAATTATATTTAAATAAAAAAGGTCTCATGTTGATTTAAAAATGTACATGATTCACTTTTTCTGCTGTCAATATACCATTTTATTAGGGGTCACTATGCTATGGACAACTATCTAAATGTAGCCTTAACTATAGTGTCTCGTATTGAGTAAATGCCCTAGTGAGCATTTCAAAAACTGTTGAACTTCAACACTTCCAAAAAAAGTGTATTTTTCTTCTTTCGTAAAACAAAACAGACAACCCCCCAGAACATTCTTATACAAACATCTTTAAAACATGTTAAAAGTGTGGCATAAATCTACTTTAACAGTAAACTCAGAGATAAAGACCCATCCTGTGTTGCTGTTCCATAGTAGATGATGTGGCCCCCTATTTGGGCCTACACCAACATAGGATTATAGGAATACAGCCAAAATGGAGAGAGATAAGGATGAAACTTCAGCACTTGAGTCCAGTTTCCCGTATTCTGTAACATTCACTGCTGGTGAAAAATGGCAGATTGAAAATCTTGAAAAGTGAATTCTTCTACTTATTCACAATCCAATTACAGCACAGCCAACTACGATGCAAGTTCCCTGCCAGTGTAACCAAGTCCTAGCCTAGAGGCACCATGTCTAAGGCTACATCTACACTGCATGCTTCTTTTGACGGTGTGCTGAGTATGTGCTCAAGTAGCTCTCACTTCCAGCATGGGTTAAAGTAACAGTGTAGACCGTGAGGCCTGGCTAGGGTGAATAGAGTACAGGCATGCCTGAAGGGTGTGGGTACTTACCCAAGTACGTACCCTACATAGCTCTCTACTTGCCCAAGCCATGCCTCCCCATCTACACTGCTATTTTTACCCGTGTACTGTCCTGCAGCCTCCCAGTGGCTCGAACCTTTCTCTGCCATAGGAAAAGACTCCAGCAGCAGGGAAAGACACTGGCAGCCTGAAGGCAGCAGGGAAGGGCTGTGGCAGTTCCCCACTGCTAGAGCATTTTCTTGCTGGAGGGAAAGACTAACCCGCAGCTCCCTGTTGCTGGAGGTTTTCCCCACTGCAGGTAAGGACTCCGGCAATAGGGAGGCTGATGGGAAAGGCTCTGCTAGCTCCCCACTCCTGGAGCCCTTCCCCACTGAAGGTAAAGACTCTGACAAGTGGGGAAAGGTTCTGCTGCTGAAGCTTTCCCTGCGGCTTCCCCCCTGCCACAGTCTGTCACTGACATATACACATGGCAGTGTGAGCACAGCTTGCTTTTCACTGAGGCTTGTAGCTATGCTACCTTATATGCCACCAAAAGTGGCGAGTGGTGTAGACGTAGCCTAAGGGTGAGAGGGTTGTTCAACTTCCACATCCATTCATTCCTTTGTCTCCCTCCCAGAACTGCCAACAAAGGTCCCAGTGTCAATGTTTTCTGTGATGTGGCAACCTGCCCAGTATGAATTGTATTGAGACCATCAATTCAAGTGTTGACAACTAAACAGCCATCCGATGATAACTTTTGGTGCCTTATGAAATCAGTGACTTGGAGTGAAAGACTCTAAATCCCATTAACAACAACTTGAAATCACCAAGATCCAGACACCATTCACCATCCAACTAATTTACTTGCAAGGAAGATATTTTCACCAGGAGATTCTCAATTGTTAAGTAGAATACCTTGATGTTATATTCACAGAGATTTTTTTTTTTAGTTGGGTGAAGTGAAGAATTCTATTTCAAAACTACTCTACTCCATCTCTAAATTAAAAAATACTGTTCAAAGTTTTAAAAAGATCACTGACACATCTTCTTTAAATATGTAAACATGCTCAGGCCCACTTCCTTAAGTACTGGAGTGTCACTCAGATATTTGTCACAATATTTAATGGACGAGACATTTCATCTCAGAAGATAACAATGCTAAAAATGTGCTTTCCCTCATACTCTTGATGTGCAGCAAAGCCATTTCTAGCCATAGGCACTATGGGTTATATATGATTAAAGAAAAATGAAATTGTTGTTAAGGAGGATGAGAGCTTCACCTCTTAAAGAAATCCAACAATGTAATGTTTCTTGAGAAGAAGTCAGCCCTTACAGCAGTTGCCCCATGGGCAGACAGCGTAAGAAAAATGGTGGAAGAGTATTCAATGTAACTTGTTGTCTACTTCAGCTTGAATGGTGGAAAGCATTAAATATCTATAGCATTCCATCTGGTGAGAGCTGGTACGATGATCACTCTGAGATATGACCTAAAGTCAAACTAACTAGAAAAAAAGATTAGGAAAACATTTATGTGTGGCAATTTTCTAATATTAATAGGGATATTATTTTGACTTACCTTTCTTGGCTTAATACACTCCCATCCTTTGAAGACTAGTATTTTGAGTGTAAAAAAAAAAGTGTTGTCCGTAATGAAGACTAGTATAATGGAGGTTTAGTGCATTTGCAAAATCTCATAGAGGAAAAATGTACCACCTGTATTTTAATAATGAATGTGAAGCAAATTTAAACAATTAATGCTTAATTCCCTTGCCGATTAATATACATACAGTGAGGTGAGCATGGAGCAAAAATGAACATAATATGTACATTTGACATAAGGTTGGATAATTTGAAGATGTCAATATTTCATGTTGCAGAGCAAAGCTTACCTTGTATCCTGATGATTTGATGTGCACTCCTCGCTTGGTCAGAGTAGATTTCATTCGGATGAAAAAAGAGCGCTCTAGGGTGTTGTCAGTGGTTAGTAGACTGGGGCTTGTTGATTCCACTAGGGAATAGAAAAAAAATACATACACAGATGATTTAGATTTTTATACAGCCCCTCTAAGCTATTTCTCAGGTGCAATCCTTGAACTCGCTAAAAATAAATGACTGATGGATGCTGAGTGTTGTAATCAATTTACCTCATTTACAAAATGTTTATTTAGCAAAAAAAAATTGAAAAATATATGTACAAACAGTAACTCTCATTTTCAGGTTCTTTTTTCCCAAAGAATTTTAAACACAGAGTTGCCTCATTAACTCTTTCCTACGCAATTATGCTGCTAGCTTTTTTTTTTTTAATTGTGAAGTTCCTTAATGTTATGTGACAGGGTCAGTGTTATTGGGGAGGCAAGGCTGTCTACTGAAATACATCTGCAAATTCTAATCCAGAATTCTATCCCCCGTTTTCCCTACTTTGTTTGCTGTGACACCTTGGTCACACTTCAGCTCTTGATGCCTCAGTTTCCCCATTAGTTTGGGTTAATTAATACCCAGAAAGCACCATGTGACCATCAGATGAAAAGCACTACTATTATGATTGGCAATAATAACAATAATAATTAGGTATTAGTGACTAATGACGATGAAACGGCTTCAAGATCCATTTAGCGTTAAGTGAAGTTTCCTCTTTGAAACTACAGACCACACCTTTGTGTTCAGATGCCTCAGCCACAAGACATATAGTAGATAAGAACAAATGGTATGTGCCAAGTATGATAAAATAATATATGCAGATTTAGGGAATGTAATATCACCATGTTCCCCATGCAACTTTTTAATATTTTTGTTTTCAGTCCAAAGGTTTCTATGCAATGTTTTCTTCTAACAAATAATTCACAGAAGCTTCTGGAGCAACCCTACAACAAACAACTGCTGGGAATGAAACATATTTCAGTTCCAAGGAGTTATTATAAGCAACAATGAATAAAAAAAAAGATGTTTAAAATCAAGAAAAATACCTTGTTGCTGTCCTTTTAGAGAATATGATCAATTTCTGGTCAAAACCATTCCAAGTATTTATAAAAGCATTTGATATGCAGCACATACAAACCCTGCTTGCTTGTGAGCTAAGGATTATCTTGTGTTGTGCTTGTTCTAATGTGGTCACGTTTTCTTGTATTTATGGCATTTCAACTCTGTTATGATGAAACTGCTGACAAGAATGCCCCTTTCTTTAGTATCTCTTTTAAGGTTTTTTGTTTTAGAGAGCATGAATTCGATGTCATTTTAAATGTACAGCTCTTTATCACTCGAGGGAAAAGCAGAGCCATGTTATATTTAGTACTTTCATTTCTTCTGATTAAATATGAATTACTATGAAATTTTTCTCATCATCTAACACGCCATAATACGCCAACAGCTTTTTAATACACTATATAAGCACAAACTTCTGCTCTAAGAGTTTAATTTGCCCCTCTAATCCAATCACATCAACCTTATTTCTCTTATCAGAGATTCCCATTTTGAATTAAATGAGCTCATTAGTTTTAATCAAAAGCAGAGAGATCAAAACTTAAACGTAAATGCTTTAGATCAGAACTGTCAGTCAGCCGTGCAGTTCTATTTTACTAAAACACAAGATCAGAGACCCTTAGAACCAATTTTTTCTCGTAAGGGATGCTGAGAGCTTGAAGATGCTATATCCTTTTTTTTTTTTCCCAAGGACAGATTATACATTTAAGGTTAGACTTAATTTAGAGCTTTTTTTTTCATCCTGGTGGAAATGGAAAAGTATGCCAATCTACTGTTGTCTCTTTCACATTTATTGGTGCTGGTCCTCAGAGACCTGAACAAACGTGAAGCCATCAGAATCCATGCCACAAACCTGGCCTCAAAAAATTCAGCTCTGCTCAACAATATCATGTTTGCAACATCTAAGAAATGAAACTTTCAAAAAAAGGAAATGTATTTCAGGTCAAGGTTACTGGAACTCTGATACAGCAATGAAGGGCCAACCAGAATACAAGCAGTACTTGTGATATGAGAATCATTATTAATTATTACTGCCTACAGTACAGTGCTTTAAGAGTACATTAAGAAACCACAGCATGGGTGCTTCCTGCTGTGTGAAGAAATGCGAGAATCAGCTTAACATGTGCAGTAGTTGCAGTCCAGCGCATTATACCCTAATACAGGCAATAAGTACGACATGTCCCCATGTGTTGTAATGGTAATTACCTAAACACACAGAAGTAATGTTAATTAAACACACAAAACCTTGCATCTGAATAAAATTAAAGCTGTGGCATGAACCTATCATACCCAAGAAATGTAAAGATGAGAACATTTTATCCTTAATTCACATTTCTGAAGAAAAGTGAAACAACCTATATTTAGTAAAGTATCCTTGGCACTGAATATTTCCTGGGTTCTTTTGAGCTTGTATCACAAGCTTGACATTATTTGACCTTTAACATATCTATAAAACCTATATATCTTTCAGTGAACGTTATATCATGCAATGTTATTTAATAATGTTAATCATCATTATGCATATGGTATTTTAAAGGTAGGATAAAAAGTCACAGGGACATATTCTACCCTTGCTACATGCACAGAACACACCTACTGACGTCAATGTGAGATTTGCAGAGAGATAAACGGTGGAATATGGCCACTGTGAATGCCCAAGAGTTGATTTTAAATGTTAATCACTGAGCCATTTAATAATATTTTTTCCAATTATATCGAAGGAGAATAGCAATCTAAGTGCCATCAGAATGAAAATCTAAAACATTTCATGTTTAAAGAGATCTTTTGGCATTTTAGAAGTGCAAAAAAGCAAGAATCTGGGAAAGTCTACTTTGCTTCAATTGGTGATGTTCAAGAGAACAATCCTGCATTCTTTGTACTTCCCAACTATTACTGAAGACAATATGAGTATGGAAGGCAGAAGGAATGTATACATTGTCTCCAAGAGCATAAAAATGCAACCTGTGATATCTGTACTAATGTATTACCCAGATTAAAAGGTCAAGCAAACCCCCCAGCCAGACCCAAATGGGGGAAACACATGAACTAAGGCCCAGATCCTGCAAAGAGCTTTCTGTGGATGGACATCTGCACCTGCATGGAGCCTCACTGACTTCATGAAACAGAACCAAACAATATAGAACAATGTAAGTCATACCTCTCCAACAGCAATAACAGAAGCACGGTATCCATGTCTGATGCACAAACATATACATATTCAAACAATTTGTCCCTGAGGAGAGAGAGCAAGCCCCAGATATGATTTATGTCTTAAAGTCCAAGTAAATAAGAAAAGGATGGCAAAGCTCCATAAATGAATATCCACCCACTCATACCCTTTTGTCATATGTACTAAAAAAATGAGAGAAAAGAAGAGAGATGGTATTTTTCCCATGTTAACATGCAAAAGATTGTTTTTTGAGCTCACTCTTTCAAAGGGCCAGGAGCTTTAGAGGGGTAGATGACAAGCTACAACATTAATACCTCTGCTGAGTTCAAGGGGATTCAGTTAAAGAACAACTTGGTCTCAACACCATTAAAATAAGCTTTCACCTGCACCTACACTTCTTCTTTGATACAAAAACCTTTGTTAAATTGAACCGAGAGGAAAAACAAGGAGCTGTTTACACACTGCAAAGGGGAGTCCAAATAGGAGGGGACATACACATGAGCAAGAAAGGGATGCTTGCTAGCTCATGTCCTATTGTAGGCTTATAAGCATCTTCCTGAATATTCTCAAAATCTGGTCACAGTTTGTATGTGCAATAGAGAACCACTAAATTCAGGCATGCACCTGGGCAACACAAATATGTAATTTCAGTTGGACTCGATGCTTACACATTCCTTTTAAAATACTTCTATTTCCTTTTGTGCACAGTTTTGCAGTTTATTGCCTCTATCCAGGCATTAAAAGACTTTCAAGGAAGATTTAATCGTCAGCAGTTAACTACCCTATTTCCCCCCCATATTATTTTGTCTTAAAGTGAGGTTCTAATCAGAAACACAACTCTTAAAATGATATTGTTTCCATGCTCATCCTGTCTCAATAACCTACAGATCAAATTTTCTTACTTTACTAGTAAAAATATTGTTTGATCAAGACACATTGGCGATCAAGGACAGACACAGGGATGGATTTTAAGCGGCAGGCTGCAACTTCATTAAATTTGACCGGGGAGGGGTGCAACCCACCTGTCACCCAGACTCACATACCCACTGGGGGTTACAGGGCTCCTACTATATAACCCCTAAATCCAGGCACACTATTCTCAGCCTGCCCCTAGGATTCAGCTCGCTTTTCTGAATCCTTTTACACCTCCACTCCACGTCCCCTTGGTGAGGAGCACAGAGGGTACTAAAAGAGGAGTACCTTAGCCCATGAAGGCCACAAGGTCTCCCTCATACCATAGGTACAAGGTCCATCAGCAAAAGCCCAGGTCTTTTATTTCTCTTTTAGCCTTTCAACCACACTGGAAACCTGCCACAAACTGTGGAACTAAGATCCCTACAAGGTACTACAGTACCACTAATTACTAAATCCTACTCCTATTTAATCTATCATAGAATAATAGAATATTAGGGTTGGAAGAGACCTCAGGAGGTCATCTAGTCCAACCCCCTGCTCAAAGCAGGACCAACACCAACTAAATCATCCCAGTCAAGGCATTGTCAAGCAGGGCCTTAAAAACCTCTAAGGATGGAGATTCCACCACCTTCCTAGGTAACCTATTCCAGTGCTTCACCACCCTCCTAGTGAAATAGTATTTCCTAATACCCAACCTATCTCTGCCTCTATGCTATCTATGCTGCGAGGAAGGCAACCCTCCCCCCCACCCCCAGCCTCTGCCAATTTTGCCTCAAAAAAATTCCTTTCTGGTCCCCAAAACAGGCAATCGATCAGACCCATACCATCTGCAAAACACAGCTCCAATACTACAGTTTTAAGGAGGGGAGACACACTGCTGAAATGGAGCAAGAAAAAGCTCCCAAGGACCTGGGCTAAGGTTTGAAGGAGTTCCCCTCCTCCCCTAC